TTTGTACCTGGGGGTGCCTGGATACTGATGGTTATGGAAGGAGCAAAAGTTACATGTAACTTCTCTGTTACTTGCTGCAGTCCAGTTAAGGGTTGTCAGTTGCCACCTTTCTAACTGGTAATAACCAGAACTATTCCCTCCCTTCACCCCAAAGATGTCCATTTACTTGCAGGCAAGACCCACAAAAATGTTCAGTGAGCAAGAAGGAAGGAAGGGAGGTGAGCAATGGGGAGCGGGTTTGGGGGAAGTGTTGGATCAGGGGTGGGACTTGGGAAAATTGGGCAGGGCCTCAAGAGAACAAATAGGGCAGGGGCAGAGCCTGGTAGAGAGGGGAAGAAAAATGGGGCAGAGGACAGGGCCTTGCAGCCTGGTTACCAGGGGTTGGCCCTGGGGCTGGTTTCATTCAACATCTTCTTTAATGATCTGCACGAGAGGATGGGTTGCACCCTCAGCAAGTTCACAGGTGACACTAAACTGGGGGCAGAAGTTGCTCTGCTGGAGGGCAGGAATCGGGTCCACACCGACCTGGACAAATTAGAGGATTGGGCCAAAAGAAATCTGATGGGGTTCAACAAGGACAAGTGTAGAGTCCTGCAGCATCCTACAGAGACAGGAGAATTGCATGCACTGCTACAGACTGGAGGCTGACTAGCTAAGCAGCAGATTATGAGGGGGCTGGAACACATGACTTATGAGGAGAGGCTGAGAGATTTGGGTTTATTTAGTCTACAGAAGAGAAGAGCAAGGGGGGATTTGACAGCAGCTTTCACCTACCTGAAGAGGGGTTCCAAAGAGGATGGAGAGAGGCTGGTGACAGATGACAGAAGGAGGAAAAATGGTCTCAAGTTACAGTGGGGGAGGTCTAGGTTGGATATTAGGACAAACTTTTTCCCTAGGAAGGTAGGGAAGCACTGGGCTGGGTTCCCTAGGGAGGGGGTGGAATCTCCATCTTTGAAGTCCCGGCTTGACAAAGCCCTGGCTGGGATGGTTGAGTTGGGGTTGGTGCTGCTTGGAACAGGGGATTAGACTAGATCAGTGTTTCTCAACCTTTTTTTTATAAAGTACCCCTTTTTCAAAAAAAAAAAAAAGTGCCCCTTTAAAAAAAATTATAAGTACCCCCGGTACCTACAGTTTTTAGACAAACAACAATTTTTTCTACCGTTGCAGCACATTTGTTTTATCATAGCCAGGCAGGCAATTAAATTTTTGGGTGTAAAAAGTACAAAAATAATAAAGAACTGTAAAACTTAAAACAAAAATTCAGTTTTCTCCACATTTCAGCTGTATTGACTCCTCCCACCCTCATCCCCGCCTTCTCTTGAGTACTCATGTGGAGAAATCCCTGTAATATTATATTTTGTATTAAGATCTTGGCCTTTTAGATATATCTTTGTTAAGTGTTCTTATAGAATCTCTGTAACATTTTTCCTATAACTTTGTATTAAGATATATAGATCTTGTAAGAAAAAAATGTCTTTTGAGCTCTCCCTTTTCCTTGATTGCCCTGTTGAAATGAATGAGGTGTGAATGGAGAATGAAAGGGGAGCACCTCCAGCAGCAGCTGCAAGGGCAGAGAGGGTCTGGGAGCCAGATCCAAGACAATACCTGCAAAGTGAGATCATTAAGAAGACTGGACAGACAGATGCCTTGGGAGTCAAGCAGCAAGTGCCTGCCCTTGGAGGAACTCTCTTTGAAGCAGCATAAGAAAGGCCAGTTGATGACTAATTGGCTGCATGAGAGGGATAAATAGGAGGCATCCTGCAGAGGGACCCTGGGTTTTCATCTTGTCAACATGGGAGCATCGATCTGGATCAGCAGAAGCCCGGCTCCCCCCCTCCCCCATCTAACTCACCTGGCCAGTGTAGTTAGGGGGAGCAACTTTTGGTAACAACAAGATGGAGTGTGCTTGTGCGTGTGAGAGAGTGCATGAGTGTGATGTGTCATATGCATATGATAAGTATTGATTATTCTATGTGTGATCAATAAATGTGGCATGTTGCCTTATCCCTCTGAAAAAGATCGAGTACTTCTTTTAAGTACAACACTCATATCACTGGTGGAGAAACACTGGACTGGATGACTCCTGAGGTTGCTTCTAACCCAACTCTATGATTTTAAGAATGTGGGGGTGCCGGTCTGGGGGCTGAGCAGAGTCACCTGGGTGATCATTAGGGGTGGTTAGGTAGCCCCCCCCCTTAGCTGGTGTGCCCTTCCCCTCCCATACTGGTAAGAACTTTTTGCTTGTTTGCACCTCTGTTTGGATGCCATTGCAGGCTGTCTAGTTGCCTTTTTGATCAGGTTTTGTGGTTGAAAACCAGGCATCTGGCAACTTTAAATGGCACCCAGACACAGAAGCCAAAAAACAGATTCTTAAGTTAAAAACTAGGCAGCTGGCAAACCTAGTCCAATCTGCCATTTGCATTCAGGTGGACTAAGCCGTTTTCCGGTCTGATTAAACCTTTGCCTTCACACAGTGCATTTTTCATCTGATTGGATGAAATTGTATCACCACCCCCCCGCCCTCCACCTCCATGCTTTATGAAATGGTCCTATGAACACAAATATACATAATCAGGGGCGGCCCGTCCATATAGGTGTACTAGGCGGTTGCCTAGAGTGCCAAGTTAAATGGGGCGCCAAATGGTGGTGCAATATCGTTGAGGGGTTTGTGGGGGGGCGTCGATTGCATGGTTTACTAGGGCGCCAGTTGCTGGCAGCTAGTCTAGGGCTGCCCCTGTACATAACTCAAAAGTGCTTGGGACAAATTGCTTCATGTAACCTATCAGTCTTCATGTCATAACCCGCTGGATCTGGTCATCTTATTTTGGTGTGTGTATCACTCGTGTGTGAAATTAGACGTGTGGAGTATGGAGTGCTTTATGGCTTTTAAATGTGCGAATGAAAGCCAGAATGGTTGTGACCCCCAGTGTCCTGATGACCAACTGTTAAACAATCTCTTTTGTCTTTTACGTCTTAGCAGTGGTTGGTCTGGGGAAGTCACATGTCCACTATTCCAGTCCACCCCCGTTTAATCGGTTAATCAGTTATACTTAACATTTAACCCGTTAACTAATTAAACGGGATTTTACATCTTTAACTCAGACTAACACATTTATTTCTACTGGGGGGGAGCAAAGAAATGTTATGGGGGCAGTATGCCTGCTGCCCACATACCTGCCCCTTTATCAGCTGGCGTGGGCTGCGGGAAGAGAATAGAGACATAGGAGAAGGAGATCATAGAATCCTAGGACTGGAAGAGACCTCAGGAGTCATCAAGTTCAGCCCCCTGCCGAAAGCAGGTCCAACCCCAACTCAATCATCCCAGCCAGGGCTTTGTCAAGCTGGGACTTAAAAACATCTAGGGATGGAGATTCCACCCCCTCCCTAGGGAACCCATCCCAGTGCTTCACCCCCTTCCTAGGGAAATATTTTTCCTAATATCCAACCTAGGCCTCCCCCACTACAATTTGAGACCCTTGCTCCTTGTTCTGTCACCATCCTCTCTCTATCCTCCTTGGAATCCCTCTTCAGGAGGTTGAAGGCTGCTGTCAAATCCCCCCTCACTCTTCTCTTCTGCAGACTAAACAAACCCAAATCCCTCAGCCTCTCCTCATAGGTCATGTGCTCCAGCCCCTTAATCATTTTAGTTGCCCTCAGCTGGACCTTCTGCAATGCCCCTTTCTGTAGGGGGGGGGGGGGCAGGAACTGGATTCAATACTCCAGATGTTGCCTCATCAATACCGAAAAAAGGGCAATAATAAGTTCTCTAGATCTGCTGGCAATGCTCCTCCTAGTGCACCCTAATATGCCATTAGCCTTCTTGGCTACAAAGGCGCCCTTTTGACTCTTATCCAGCTTCTCTTCCACTGTAATCCCCAGATCCTTTTCTGCTGAACTGCT